GTGGTGTGCGTACAGCCGGTGGTGTCCATATATCCCTCCCCCAATTCCCCCAATCTTTTATGTACAGTTCTTCTTTTTCTGTTTTCGTTTTTTGCTTTTTTTACATTAAAAAAAGTAATAACCTTTACTTTCCGTCTCATGATTCTACGTCCGATCTGTTCACTTCACCTCCTACCGCAAATGTCATCCGCAACTTGGGCAAGCGACTGCTCTGCAATCCTCGTACACGACATGAAAAGACAGAACTTAACCAACGATACCGATTACGTAATGGATTACTATACAACAGTCCTTAACTCCGCCTCACAACGAAATACTCATATGCAACTCAGTAACTAACACCCATATAGACATACTGCATAGAGCTATAGGGTTCCACCAAACTTTAACCTTCAAAAAGATTTTGCAAAATCCAGCTACAAAAAATTCCACAATCCAATCCCGCTCTAATCCTTTTGTACCACAATTCCGGATTTCTTTCCAATAATCCTTTTTGACATGTCAACTAACAGCGGCCTTGTGACCTGATCAGATAAATCAGTTTTAGGAGTAGCTAGCTAGCTTAGAATAGCTTCTCCAATTTTTACTGTCATGTTCTATCAAACAGATATCTATGCAAATTATGCGCCTTGTTCAGTTTGTTGTTTTATACTCTTTAAAAATATCTTTTTTAAATCTTATTGTATATCTGTGGTGTTTAGTGACCGCTGATATCATCATCGCATAATAATGATTATTATGTGATGCGGTCTGGTGCGACATAGGTTTATCTTTGTCGTACCAACGTTTCGATCTTTATTGAGATCATCTTCAGGGCTCAAACTATTTGTTTTCTGTGTAGATGTGTCGTATTGACAGTGCCAGTGAGATATTGATGTGATTGAAAAAAAAAAAAAAAAAAACACTGGTAAAAAACACAACACGACACACAATAATGACACATATACACAGAGCTTATTATTATTTATAGTCTTTTTAACAATACTGTGCGTTTATCTGTTCGCGCATCTTTCGCTGCATGTGTATAAACAAAAAGAAAGTTTTCTGACGGGAAAATACGAGATAAGAATTATCCGGGATGGTCAAACGGATAAATATTCAAATAGGAGGCCGACCAAATTGGCCTTACAACTTTGAAACGTTGGCTTTGATCTCTTAATCTTTCAGTTAAAGTACTGCATGTATTTTTAATAACTGGTATTAGGGCGGCTACAACAGGCCTCAAGAGGGTTTTTGTGGTCTGGTTCATTCACTTTACGTCCTCACAATTTCTATATGTACGAATCGTAGATTCAAATATATGGATAAAATTCTTAAACATAAAAAGGAAAATCATAGAGTAACATAGAAAGAAAATACAACTTCTAGCGTTAGTTAATTTGTTACAATTATGTAGTAATGAGCGGTATGGCACAAAGACAATTATGCTTCTGTTATCAAACCAGGTTGACCCGGTTGTGCTGACTACCTGGGGGATCATTTTTTGCAATTTTCTTAAAATGTGTTCTCGTACAAATTTACAAAAAGTGCTGTTCATTTATTTATTATTTTGAACAATTTTAATGTCGCTGTTCGTCCAATCGGTTTCGTTAAAATAACAAATTAAAAAATGCTTTTAATTTTGTCAGAAGAATGGAAATAAGTGTTGAGAGAAATGTAAAATAATAAAACATATTGTAAATTATTCAATATCAATTTGTTAGGCTTCTGACGCCTTCGTTTGATTAATATATTTCATTTATGTTACTTCTTCAATGCCTGAGTTTCATGGAACTGTTTTTAGATTTTTACCATTAATAAAAAAATGTTAAACATACATTTGTTTTTGAGAAATAATGCACGGTTGAGTACAAACCTACGGCCTATTTTGTACTACTACGAAACTTGGGGTACGGGCCTACCTAGGCTTTTAACCCCTCGGGTCCTGGTCACCCGCCCTGCGTACTACTACAAAACAAGTTTTACTTCAATTAAACAATCTTTGACTTCATTTAAACAATATTCACCTTCCACAGATATGAACTATATAATAAGAGTGAAAACACTCCAATTTCTTTATATAAAAAATAAAAATAAAGAAAATAAAAAACTATTATTAAAAAAACACAAAAAACTATTATTCAAAATAAAAAATATAAATTTTTAAGGGCAATTGGTTTACAAGTGGTTTCTCAAAATTATTAAATTCGTTAGGAATTGAAAACTTGAAATAAAAACTTTATTACCAGATTAGCTATATGTTTAAGTCACGATAGCTCAAGTGGTTAGAGTAGCGGAGTATTGAGCCGAAGGTCGCGGGTTCGAATCCCCCGCTCGTGACACTAGCTTTTTCATTTCAACCAAAACCTTACTTAAAAATGTTAATAAAAAGAAGTAATTTGGTCAATGGACCACTAAATATAATAAACTTATATTTAAAGGCTGACGTAAAAGGCAACGAAGTGATCCACTATAACCCACCCCACTCATTAAAAAAATGAACGGAAAATCCGATGGAATTAAAAAACCCATCCAAATTATTCAAATGTAAAAAAGGCCTAGGCCCGTGGCCTGTGGAGGCTGGGCCTAGAAGGGAAAAGATCATACCTACCAGGTTGCGCATAGGTCATACCAAGATCACACAAGGACACCTTGGGGTGAGACCGTGTAGGTGCCCGTGGTGTAGAGAACATATCATGGTAGAGCACATAATAACGGTCTGTAAAACTCCAAGTCTTTTAAATTGTATCTAGATCTTGTACAATCATGCATGTGATATGTGTGATTTATTGTAACGAATGTATTTATTTGCGTGAATGGAGGGCTCAATACCCAATTACCCCGAGGAATATTGGGTGCTTTGGGGTAGTGTGAATGAATATTGAATGTAAGTATTTGTGATGTTTTTCAATCCCTACTTCCTTCCCCACTCCTTCAAAATCACACAACATAGACAAAAACGTAACTCCCAAGACGATCCACAACAGTGATACATCTACCCAGAAACACACTCTGATTGAATAAATACATTGATTAAACCTAAAATTTCTGTATTGCGTACATCATTGCATAAATTCATAATCAGATCTTATATGCATTTGTACAATTTAAACAATGTTTATAACTCCCAGGCCCTGATGATGATTTCAATAAAGATCGAAACGCTGGCACGATAAAGAAAATGTTTTTCTACACCCAAATCACACCAGATCTCTCAATAATCATTTGGATATAATTTAAACGCACATTAAGTTTGGAAAACGTACATTGTCTTTGAATTTTTTTTACTTCAATTATTTTCATCTGCAACTATGTATGAATTATATACGATCACCAGTTTGGATGTCGATTTGTGATTGCGACATTACGTGCATTGTAGGGAAAGCTTTCTCTCTTGTCTCTTATCCATATTCTTTTCAGTTGCTGGTGAGGAAAGCACTAATTGTATTTGTGTGTTAGTATGACTTTGTAACTTTACTGTAATATGTTTTGATGGATGAAAATTGCATTCCATAAAAAATTGTTCATGGGTCAACTGTGGGAGTTTTATTTTCCATACTGTGTACAAAGGGATTGAGTCATATGGCAGGTTTGAGTGAGTATGTTGGAAAGGGGATAGACAAGTGCATTCATTTGGTCTAGAAAATATTGGAGTCCACGCGGCATTCGAGTTGATGTCGTGGTTTAGGTAGCTTCCGCAGCCTGGTGATTCTCAGTAGTTCTTGTATGAAGTTTCACCCATGTTGTAGGCGATAGGGCTTTTCTTCTTGTAAGGGAGCGACGGAAAATTGTTATCATCCAGTTGGGGTGGTTTCAATACTCGGGTTCTTTCCTTCTTGTCCTCGTTCTGTATGCATTACTGGGCGTTTCGCTGGTCATTAAAGGCATCGCACTTGTACTTTGATGAAAATCTTGCGCATATCGCTTTAGTTTCTCTACTTTTTTAGGCGCGATGAAGCGTTGATGCAGTTAACTACTTTGACTACTTTGTAGCCACCTAAGTGCTTAATTCTTGTATGATTAGTCTTATGGAGTTGGAGAAATGTAAATATTTTTTTGTTTGTTAAATTACAAAGACAGACAAGTATATGTATATATATGTATATATATGTATATATATATATATNATATACACTCGTAAATTTCATAATGATTTAGAAAGAAAGATAATTTAAAATTTCAATTAATTATTCTTTTTATGTAAGGTCTTGGTTGAGGTAAAAAGGTCAGTGTCACGAGCGAGTTTCGAACCCACGACCTTCGGCTCAATACGAATCCTGATTACACGACATTTCAAAAATGGAAAAAAGGAGGGAAAATTTGAATGGTTGTAGGTTGAGATGGGAAGTTAGTGTCCGAGTGGACCGAAGTCCCGATAGCTCAAGTGGTTAGAGCAGCGGCGTATTGAGCGGAAGGTCGTAGGTTGGAATCCCGCTCATGACACTGACTTTTTCATTTCAACCTATACCTTACATAAAGATTAATTAATTGACAGAAGTACTTAGTGTTAACTGAAAGAAGTACTTAGTATGTCGAAGTTTAATGTAGCTTATTACTTGACCGTGGAGGCACGGCGGACTGCACAGATCGCTTTTCGCGTGCTACAGGGCTATATGGATTTTCTGGATCTGATTCACGACGCCATGTTAAGAAGACGAAGCATAGCGGAAGTGTAGGACTCTTTCCGGGAGCTCTTCTACTAACTACGCCGCTGCTCTAACCTCTTGAGCTATCGTGACTTCGATCCACTCGGACACCAACTTCCCATTTCAACCTACAACCGTTCGAATTTTCCCTCCTTTTTGCCATTTTCAAATGTCGTGTAATCAGGATTCGATTCTCAGCGACTTATGAAGTAGCCACGGGGTGCTATTAGAGAAGTGATACTTCTTTTACTTATTAAACATTAATCCATTTATTTTTTATTGATCTAATTAACCAAGTTATTTATTTCAATTAATTATTCTTTTTATGTATGGTCATGGTTGAGACAAAAAGCCAGTGTCACGATCGGATTAGAAGTCACGATAGCTCAAGTGGTAAAGCAGCGGCTTTTTTAGCCGAAGGTCTTGGGTTCAAATCCCGCTCGTGACACTAGCTTTTTTACCTCAATCAAGACTTTACATAAATATTAATTAATTGAAAGAAGTTATTTGGTCAATCGGACCACGAAATATAATGGATATAATTTTAATTGTAATGTTTAAATTTTCTCGTGGTACTGCAGTATTTAAATAAATGATAGACGATCTTATTAACTATAACCATAATCACATTCAATCTAATGAAGTTACGCTTTTTTTGGTAGAACTTATAAGTTACTGCTTTCTAAATCATTATGCTATTTACGAGTTCTATATATATCATATAGGGTGTATATACCCTACAGTGTATATATACACCCTTTGTATACATACTCTCTTTGTAATTTAACAAACAAAAAAAAATATTTTTTTGTTAAATTACAAAGAGAGTTGTTTTAAAATATTTACATTTCTCCACCTCCATAACACTAATCATATAAGAATTAAGGAACAAAGGCTACAAAGTAGTCAAAGTAGTTAACTGCATTAACGCTTCATCGCGCTTGAAAGAAGTAACTTGGTCAATGAGACCACTAAAACATAAATGGATAATTTAAAATGTTTATCACTTCCAGACGACAACCCTTCTTTAATGGAACTCACTAATTGCGAAAAAATTTGACATTAAACAAATGTAAGAGCACTTTTTAAGGGAGTGAAGCAAATTATTTTTCTTTCCTTCTTTTAAACGACTCTAACAATTTGCAAAGGAAACAAGAGTCCTTCTGTGTTTTGAAGAACTGCTAGAATCGTAAAGTCGACGCTGCTCTGCTCGGAAAATTGTAGCTTTCATTAAGGGATTAAATTTTTTCTTTCTTAGGAGAAGGGCTTAATTAATTGAGCTAAGCACAATAGATCTAGTCTATGCGCTGTGAAGTACAATAAAAGCCTCATAATATAGCGGTCGCCCAGGCGGTCATGATTACTGCATTGTTATTTCTCATGCCTTTAATTGGCACACGTACTAATGGGTAAAATAGTGAAGACCGGAAAGGGAGTGGAAAATCGTCGAATCTCGATAATACGAGCGAATTAGGTAATGGTCCACAATCCGAAAGTGGGATTTGGTACGGGCCGGCAAACGCGAAATGCTTTTGTTTGCCTTTGCAGGAGGCAAGACTATTATTAATTTCTTTTGGGTTCGAAGATTAGGGAGACAGATCCTTCCTTTCTTTTCTTGGCTTTCGACCAAGTAAAGCCATTATATTATTACCTTCGAAGATCATGGTTGGGGGAGCTAACCTTACTTCATTTTCAGGCCTTCTCGAGAAAAGTTACGGCCTTAATTTATCAAAATTGATTATCAACGATTTTGTTTCTCTTGAAAACAAAAGAAAGAACTTATGATGATCTCGGATTTCTGCCAAATCAAATAGGCCTTTTTTTTCATAAGTAGATATAATAAATAGATCTATAATTTAAGGTGGTTGCTCTTTTACAGATTTATGTAATAACAACGTGGTCTATGAAAAGAGAAAATTTACTATAATAGGGGTATTCACGATGTTTGTAAAATGTTAACTCGTGTTAATTCGAATAGAGAAATGTCCAGTAAGATCTGGTAAACGCCCCCTTCTTTTCTTAGCATGTTAAACGTTAATTTTTCCGCAATGCTGCGCATGGCGATCGGTAGAACCAAAAATAAAGCGTAACAGTCCTTGAAGGCGTGTTGTTCTTTGTTATGGTTATCTTTTGTGTTAAATTGTAAAATCCCGGAAGTTAATAAAAAAAGAAAAATTAATCAATACTTTCATTCAAAATGCTATTTTGTACTCGAAAAGTACTAACATTTCAATTCCGTCAATGAACATAATAAGCCAAACTGACGTATGTTTTTGAAAACTGCTCTGAATATAATTTTTTAGCCAATGTGTTTTGATTAATGAACACTGAACCTATCTAACTAAATAGGAAGAATGGTGTAGAAACTAAAATATTTCTAAACGACGCCTCAAAGTTTAACTTATTCCTGTTAACTTCTGGGTTTCCCTTAGTCGTCTCACGTGCTTTACTTAAACAATTAATTAAATCGGTCGATAGTGAGTGAATGCAATGAGACTTGATGAGGGCTAACTAATAATTAAATCGATACCGTCTACAACAACGAAGAACTTTCCGTTTGGAGTCAAATACTTCAATATTTTTGGTATCATTACCAACGCCGTTCGACAAAAAAAAAGAACAATCAATAATTTTATTTGTAGGTAATAGGCTTTAAATCATTTTATTTGACTTTTGTAATTTATACTTTACAAAAATCTCTACAAAAATACTCTCGCACCAGAGAGATATTTCGACACGCAACGGTAAAATCGATTTCGAAAGAATATTAACAATGATCGTCTTTTAGTAGGGGTATTCACGATGTTTGTAAGATGTTAACTTGTGTTAACTCGAATAGAGAAATGTCCAGTTAGATATGTTAAACGCCCCCTTCTTTTCTTAGCATGTTAAACGTTAATTTTTACGCAATGCTTCGTGTGGCGAGTGGGAGAACCAAAAATAAACCTATAACAGTCCTTGAAGGCTTGTTGTTGTTTGTTATGGTTATCTTTTGTGTTAAATTGTAACTTGCCAGAAGTTAATAAAAAAGGAAAATTAAACAACTCTTTCATTCAAAATGTTGTAAATGTTCGCATTTGGAAAGTATTAACAAATGACAAGTTTCAATTCGTGCCGACATACCTAACCTGTATCCTAATGTCTAACTGTCTACAACTTTGTATGTATATGGAATATATCTATCATGAATGAGAGTATAAGGACAGGTCAGAAATTAAGAAAAGAAATGTATTGGTCTGATTTAATTAATGTATATTTAAGAATAAAAATACGTGTAAACAAAAAACAGCTGAAAAAATTAATGGCTGCCATGTTGGTTACCTACGCCCTAACGGATAGCAATTTGACTACATTTTCGACCTAACATCTAACATTGGCCCTGCCTGTTAAATCGAGCAATGTTAACCAACCGATTCGTTAATAAGTCTATGCCATCATTTTTCTCGATCTAACAGGACTTAGTCACTCAGAGTCAACAGAGTTAACACGGTTTACACAAAGATAGTGATGTCAAACATAAACTGGCTAAGAAAAGACAGAAGGTGTGCCTTTTTTGTTGACTTCTCAGCTGCCTTTGATACCGTGAATTGAGGCGTACTTAATTAAAAACAGTTTAATGTGTCATGCAAATAAGTAAGCGCTTGAGATAGAAAAAGAAGGTAAACAGGGTTCTTCAACAGCCAACTGTTGTTTTCACTATACATAAATGACGTAGTAGAATGATCGAATATTGGATAATAGCTTAAATTAGTTCAACAAGAATAAAAATGTAATCATTTTCCTGCTGGCTTGGTGATGTTTAACTGCTAAACAAATTAGAAGCAGTGATCATTATACGGTTGTAGAGAGATAAGCTTTGATTTAAAAACTAATAATTATATACACAGTAAACTAAGCCTAGACAGTAAACGATTGATAACATTGGCCCTGGCCTGTTAGATCGAGCAATGTTAACTAGCCAATTCTTTCATGTCTACGTCATTATTTTCTCGATCTAACAGGATTAACACAAAGATCGTGCATACCACTAATAGTGTTTCTGAGTTGGCAAGAAAACCTTTTGTATTTAGTCCATCAGTATTGTGATCCAACTGAAAAAGGTATGAACAAATTTATTTATAATAAGATTTTTAAGTATCCACAATAGTAGAAGTGGCTTTTTGTCTATACCTTTATTTTGAAATTATATTCTTTTATGTATAAGAGGAAAGATAAATAAGTATCGTATATTGGTATGCAGTACATACAAATAAATGAAACTTTTAACAATGGGGACAGGATTACTTGGTCAATTATTACTGCTTTGCATTAAAGTTTGTTAATTACTTACATCGCAATCATTTGTTCAATTAATTGAATGCACAGAACTGTAATACGAAATAACGAATATTATTTTGTACGGTGGTAGGATATGTATGGACTTTATTGGGAGCGCTTTATTTAATATGACAATTTGCATTAAGTCACATTAAGGAATGTATATTGTAAGTTTTTAATGCGAATTTTTTATGATTTTTGGTAAAACTAATATTTTTTCTTTTTTGTATTTTCTGAATTTATCTTATTCCGTTGTGAGATTTTGCAGGGCTCGTTTTATTACGCCATATTTCGTCTTGTCGTCTTGGTACAACAATCAATCTGGGAAAGAGATAAACAAATCGCAATACTGTTTCAGTCCGTGGCAATGTTGGGACTGAGTCGGTCTTCAAAGAAATTTGAAATCTTTTTTTTTTTTTTTTTGCGTTATGAACTATGCATATTAGCCATGTGACAATTCTTATAGTGTGTTCAAATTTGGGGGGGTTATTGTGAAAAAAGGGCCAGAGGCGACGGTGGGAATCGAACCCACGCCGACTCTCACTAACCACTCGACTACGGCGGTCCCCCAATTTGAAATCTTCTGTGAAAAACCTTGATGGGAGTGACAACAGAATTTGCTTTTTCAAAACCATACCGTAATCTAGAGTATTCGTGAGTAGAAAAATGGAAGATAAATCTATCACTTAAAAAACAAATGAAGTTGAAAACCAATTGAGTCTTGTCCGAAAGGCTATCGATGAACGTGCCTTTTCTAACTATATTTTATCGTAAGCGCTTTTCATTTATCATTTATATGTATTATCTAAGGCTTCACCCTTTTAGGTTATTATTCTGCATTTCAACTGAACAATTGGTTCTATAATTAATTAATTAGTCGTAAGGTGAAACTCCTAAGCCGGCTGTATTTAAATTGATAGATATTGCCTTATTCACGTTGGCTCGATTTAAAGGATTTGTAAAATCCATTTGACTTAAATGCTTAAGCGTTTATGTTTTAATTCTCATTTTCGTTACAATAACCAATCGATAGAACTGGAACAAAAAATCTATTGAAACTAACAAAATACAGTTATTTTTTTCTAATTGCAATATACTTTTTAAACTATTTAATTTGTTCCATGTATTGAGTATTGTGATTGTACAAATATGTATTTGAACTATTTTTTACTAACAAATGTTTCTTGATTATGAGGAATTTGACACGCTACGCGCCATTCAACGCGAAAGAAACATACCATATTATTAGCAGGAGAAGGCTGGTGTTCGGTTCGAGATATCGCATTCGGAAAATTTGAAGTCACGATAGCTCAAGTGGTAGAGCAGCGGCATATTTAGTGAAGGTCATGGCTTCGAATCCCGTTCGTGACACTGACTTTTTTATCTCAACCAATACCTTACATGAAGATTGTTTTATATTATGTCTTCTGTGATGTGATGATGATATCGATATTGAATTTGATTAATGATATTAGCGTAGCTTCGACTGAGTTTACATGTGTCTGTTCTAATTGATGCTGTGTTTATCCCTGTTGATGTAAGCTATTTCTAAAAATACCTGTTTAATATTTACCTTTTTTTTGGAGAAAAATTATACAGGTACTTCAGGCCCAGTTCAACTTCAATATTTCAAATCCTGACACATCATTTTACAAGATTTTTTTCGCCGAAATTGTGCAATCGGGTTTTAAATTGGTCAAAAAATGACAAAGTTATGGTAAAAAGTTTGAGAAAACAAAAACAGTCATTTGGTTTGCATTTATTTACATTTCATGTTCGAACTGCCTGCCTTGCGAAAAGATGCAAATATTTGCTCTTTTTAACCACTCTTCACCGGTGCTCAGAGTTACGGGAGGTGGATTGACAAGCATTTTTCGTCCTTTGCCGCATTTGATACTGTGAATCACCTGATGATGACAAGAGTACAAAATTATCGGATTTTCCTCTGCCCACGTTCGAAAATTGCAACGGTTTAGTATGCCATTAGAGGTGAACTTGGAGTACATAGGATTTATAGAAGAATGTTTTCTTCAGCCTCCCAAATCGATATTTGTGTAAGGAACGTTAGACGCACGTCATAATCAGAGGGCCGAAGTCCCTGGAAAAGTTGAGAGCGATACGGCTTAAAAGTTATCTTTGTGTTTGTTTTGTTCTGTGTGTAATATTTTTGGATTGTTGAAGTCGTAGTTGTGTTGGTGTTCAAAATGGTGGGTAGTCAGTGCTGTAGGATTTTGTTTGGATTTTTTGCAATCATAGATATGTTACTTTACTCTCTTGTCCAGATATTGGGATGTAATACTGATGTAAGTCGCCGGACAATTTAAACAATTGGTTTTGTCAATTACGTCATACTTATTTGTTACTGGTGTGGGATCTTTGGAAAAAAGCGTATAAATTGTTTTATAGTTTTTGAAAGCTATTTTATATTTATCTGAAGAGAAAAATGTTTAATTTATTTGATAGGCCGTGAATGAATGGCATGGATATGTATATTGGTTTGTCTGTATTTGATAGATTTTCTGTGGTACTATTAGTAATAGCAGATGATGTTAGTGTTGACTTGTAGTTGTTGATTATTCTGTTGATTATGTGTTCAGGGTAGTGATTGTTATGTAGAATATGTTTGTATATCTTTATGTTTTTGTGGTGAAATGATTCATGCCTTAGGGTTATAATTCTATGAAGTAGCCGTGTTTATTAATGTATGTGTATTATTTACCCCTTCAAAATCCAACGTATATAAAACATCAATATCTCACTGGCACTCTCAACACGACACACATTAGTGACACATATATACAGAAAACAAGCAGTTTGAGTGAGTACAAATACTTTGATTGAATCTAAAATTTCTAGCGTTGGATAAATTCATTTTTTTTACATCCTTCATATATTTGTAAAATTTAAACAATGTTTATAAATTCTAGGCCCTGAAGATGATCTCAATAAAGATCGAAACGTTGGCACAATAAAGAAAATGTTTTTCTAAAATCTACGTCACACCAAATAACAACTATAATTTTTGTAAACCGAGTGAAAATTGTTGTGCATACATTTTCTCAAAAAATTCTAAATACAATAAACAAATATAATATGTACTCAGATAAGGTCTTGGTGTTTTCTCTCTTTTCTTTTCTTTCTTTTTTTTCTCGCGACAATGGAAAATAATTGATGTTTGTACAATTTCAGCTATATTTGGAACAAATGTTTGACAATTTTGTACAAGCATTTGATAAAAATTTAATTTAAAGTAAAATGCTTAGTAGATCAAGTTGATAAATAATTTACTAGTATTCATGCACCTTTATACAAATGTTTTCACCGGTTTGTATTCAATAGTTGTAGCCAATATAATATTATGTTTATTATTTATTTGTAGTTATTTGTATCCTGTACAAACATTCATATATATTACAAATTATGTTATGATTGTTACCCAGTCACTCACACTACGCTCGTGACTGCCCTCGGAGGTAACTTTTCTTGAGTCCTAGGCCGCCACTGGCTGCTGAGAAATTAAGGGGGCTCTCTGGGCTAACGTTAAGGCCACTTGAAAGAATCAGGGGATGTTAGAAGTAAAGAGGACTTGAGCAAAGGGTTAAACTGGAATAGAAATTTTAACACGAAAGGTTAAAGTGGAATAGAAAGCAGGTACGGAGCAAGTCTTGCACGATGGGCGTGTTGAGGTCATTGTGGTGGAGAAGTTATTATTATTATTATTATTTTTTTTTAAGTTGCTATCTTTACATAATATACATTGAGTAAATAAGCTTTAAAGCTTATTAGCTTAAACTAGAGCTTTAAACAAATCTGATAGACCTGTCAGATCAGGAGGCAGTGGGGAGAGAAACCAACCAGTGCTGGAACTCTCTTTAATTTAATTTTTTTATTTTTTTGCGGGGGTTAAAGTTAATTCGGTGTGTTAGATAGAAAGTCACGAGCCCATAGTCGTTCTAAACGACGCGGAGGATTGTAAGGGTGAGATGTTGAGGAAAGAGTTAGGGCTAGTTGGTTAGGATGGAGGGATAGTTTAGAGTGGAAAGTGAAGAAGCGTGTTCGGATAAGATCTTTGACGAAAGGGATTTTAAGATCTTTATGGTTCGTTTGATTGGTGACATAAAAGGGAGCATTGAGGATACGGCGGAGAACTTTAGATTGAAAAGGCTGATTTCGTTGGATATTGGATGATTTGGCCGAGCCCCACACAGTTCTGCGCCATTGCGTAGGTCCAAATAGGTCTCATGAGTGTTTTCTAAGCGGTTAGTTTGTTTTGTATGCTTAGTTTTGATTTGGGTCTAGGTAGGTGACTGAGTAGTCCATATCTTTTGTTAAGTTCATGCCGTTTTTATCGTGTATGTGGGTTCCAAGTAAGTCTACTAGCTAAGTAAAGCCCAAGGTAGCGAACTGGTACTATCTTGTTGTAAATGTGCACTGGTGGACAGGTTTGACGTTTGAGCGTAAACGTCACTTGTTGGCTTTTTTTGTTCGTTTAACCTGATCCGCCACAGATTGCACCAGTTAGTAATAAGGTTCAGGTGTTATTGGAGTGCTTCTGTTGCTAGGATAGGATTGGAGTGGAGAAATTAGAGATTTTTTCTGAGGACGTTTGAGACTTGTCAGTAAGTGAGTTTACTGACTTATGACCATTCTGAACACTCTTGATTGGAATTGGATTTTGGGTGTCTTTGTTGTCGTTAGCAGGCTATAGCAGCAATAGGTCGGGCGAGGTAGAGCATCCTCTACCTTTCACGTTTATAAATTATCTTCCAAAAAATTAGCATAAACACAAAATTCCATAAAAAACATAGAGGTCTGGTCACATTCACTCCCCCAAAGAACTCCATATTTCTCGGAGCTGGGTTGGTATTCCAGTTGTTCAGCAGTTTCACATGTTTTTCAGTGAAGCGGATTTTCAGTATGAATTCGGTCAAACTTTCAGCTATTGTATTGAAAAAATTATTTCTGTGAAAATTAACTGTTATTTACGTCAAAAACCTCCTTGTTTATAAATTAATAGTGTGCCTTAAAGGAAAATGAGAAATATTACAGGGAAATAACCCAAGGATTGAACATTCGGAAATGAAATAAACGAAATTATTCAAAATATATATTGGATCTGACATATGTTTTTCCTCAGCACAGATCGGAATATCAGGTTTTTCGTTGCAGTATCACGATGATAGAAATATCACGCGAATCTTCTGTGCACAGCCCAGTGGTGCGGGTGTTCCTGGTGTCAGGCATGTGCTCGCTTTTGGTCGTCGTCATTTTTGGTACGTAAAGTGACGTTTGGAGCCAGGTTTAAGTTTCTCATATAGACTTACTCACATTTTAGCTTTCCTGTACGCGTATCGTAACAGCACGAAGGGAATGCACAACGTGACCGCCGCGGCCGGTAGGTCAGCCTCTCCCGTCACATTTTCACTCTTCTCTAATTACCCGATTTTGAATTTCCAGGCCAAAACTACACGACGACCGTTTATTTCGTCACGACCGAAGAACCGAAGAATTTAGCTTGACCACCTCCGTCTTTAGCTCGCAATTTATATTGACCATTTTGACAAACACCGGTCATCCGCTATAACGAGTTGTGGACAGTTTACACTTTTACGAATCACTGGCGGACCAGCTGGCTTAACTCTGTCTACATGATTTTCTGTTATCGCCAATTCGGTTTTTAATCGAGTAATTTCGTTAGTAATACAACTTTAACCGACATCCTGTGAGTTTTTTTAAAGTCAGCTGCAAAATGCAAATCATTGAAAGAAGAACGTCTCGATCTGCCGATGGCATGATTATTTCGAAGTCTTAATGGATTTTATATCGATTTTATGTTGTAGTAACGTGACTGTTTTTTATTCGCTAAATGAGATATTTAACAACATTTTTCAACTTGACGTTTGGAATTGTTAACGTTTGTCTATAATAAAACACTAAAAACGCATATAAATCTAGATGGACACATTCTCATTCCTTTATTTTATATTATATAAAAATCTTTGTGCTAAGTTAAGCCAAAGGGGGACCGCGGTAGCCGAGTGGTTAGCGTGAGAGACTCTCGGCTCATAGACGCCGCGGTCGTGGGTTCGATTCCCACCGTCGCCTCTGACCCTTTTTTCACGATAACCCTCTCCCCCAAAATATGAACACACATATAAGAATTCGTCACCATGGTTAATATGCATAGATCATAAGGCAAAAAAAAAAAAAAGCCAAAAAGTGAGATTTATTGTTGATGGATTTTATACAATTCCCTAAGATATAATTTGGTCTGTAATAGTTTGATTTACAATTTGTGTTTATATTTCCAATAATTCCACCAATTTTGTTCGTTTTCGATCAGTTGTTAATTTGAAACCGCCTTAGCCATGCTGTGATTTAATGTGTGGTGATTAGTGACCGTTAGTCGATGATTATTCGGAAATCGTGAAATGCGGTTTGGTGTGATGTAGGTTTTAGAGAAATATTTTCTTTGTCGTCGTCAACGTTTCGATCTTTATTGCGATCATCTTCAGGGCCTGGGATTACAAACATTGTTTAAATTTAACAAATACATGTAAGATGTGGAAAAAAGTGAATGTATACACCGCAAAATAATATTTTTTTATGTATGCAAACAAGCTGTGATTTAAAAAAAATTCCGAACGATATGTCAAATTATTCACAAAAGTGAATAAATCGATATGTGAATCATCTCGGGCGAATGTTCTGGACGGGACCTGTTCGCGACCATCCCAGGTCGAGAGGGTGGAGAAAAAGGGATGATTGGGTACGATAGATTTTCTTTCGACTGAAGGACCTTTTCAATAAGAAAAATCGAGATATTACAAAATCCCAGCTTGACGAGTTTGATATTCGAAAACCTATTGATAACCGAAATAGCGAGAACCCCAATGCACACGCTATTTCAGGACAAAATCTTAAATTTCCAATATTTTGATTAAACTCCATATTGACTTGAAAATTACAAAAGAAAGCTTGGAAAAGAATTTTAAATGATTATTTAAAATACGTAAATTTTTAGCTTTTTGTTTGTAATTTTACGTTGATGTAGGAAATAATGCAACCTCATCTTCAGGAATAAAAGTCGCGATCATTAAAAAGCTACAACAATGCTGTATTGAACTGGCAAATATTTGTGAAACAATGGAAAATAAATCAGAATGTCGAAACTGACGAAGGTTGACAATGCAACATTGCGAAAAAAGCCTACCCGATTTTTTATCAGTTGACATTTCCTCTCACATATGGTTTTCTTGTGAGGTTTCTAGCCTAGCCATTTGACTGGTCAAAATTTTAACTATTCTAATGTTCGGTAAGAGAATTCGGTCGGTTGGATTTCAATTATTTGATTCTCCCGTATTACGTAAGTACTCTCAAAAGTGCCATTATAAATTTATTTTGATTGTCTTTAAGAATGAGTCACAACGAAAAACAGTCATTAATGTCAAAAAGTGTTTGTTAAATTCAAAATTTTAAATTATTGCTGTTCATGTAAAATACGTCCTATGCTTTGACAATGTGGATTAATTTAAGAATCTCGTAAAATTAAATTTTTTAACAATCAAATTAACTCATGAGTCGAGCATTTTTGCATTTGTATTATTTTTTAAAACTTCTATTAAATGTATTCATTCCACAAGGAAAATTTCCATGCCTATCACTTTTATGAATACATTTTTCTTTTAGACAATTTATTAGAGAGATAAACGACAAAGTTTTCGTGATGTGAAAGTGTGTAAAAACACAAGTTTGCTTTCTAATGAGCAACTATTTATATAAAATATATGATGTATTATAAGATACATAGTTATACGAATTATGTTATAGTTCGTATAGTGTAGCATAGGTTGTACTTAGTCGATCTTTGAGTTATATAAGCAATTAAAAAATAAATCTTTTAGAGAATGCCTGCGATTGCAGGTTCATCAGAGGAAAAGGAAATTTCTCAAAACGGGCCATGGAATGGAGTGATTTTTGAAATTTGATGATCTCGGAAAATGCCTCCCCGTTCACCTAGCGACGATAGCAACGATGACTCGGTAAGATAAAAAATTATTAAATATTTATCTTCTTAAATGAAACATTTTCGCATTTCAACTTGTCGTCGGGGCAAAAGTTACGACCAGGCGTTCTACAATTAATGAACGAAATCTCACTGGTTTTACGTGTTGTTTAGACAAGAGTCATTGTCAATAAAACTCAATATTAGCATTCTCAAAGCTTTAATAAAATAAAAACAAAATTTAATTTGAAGTTTTCAATCCGTGAAGCTTTGACAAACCGGACCGCATCGATACCACCTCTTCCTGTGGAAATTGTATATTAATTTGATCGTATCCTCACAATTGAATTCTATCTGTTTGATCAGTAAGATCAGTCTCCTTTAAGCAAAATGGCTTATTAAATGTAAATACGATCGGAGAGAATACTACATTAATATCATTATTAAATTGTTTATAACGCAACTAGAGAACAATAATGATCACAACAATTTTGATCACGTTAATATTAAATTAAAATTATTATTTGATATGATTGCTAAAAAAGTAAAAAAATATTATCTAAATATGTTTTGATTCAAAACGAACCTTGTGTAGCCGAACAGCGACCATTTAATTTTCCGTTGTCGTTTTAAATCTTTCATAAATGTCGATACCCTGTATGATTTTTTGAGATGCATTTCTATTTTTAAGTGCAAACTAGCACTAGATAGATGAAAAACGCAAATGTTAAAATAATAGGAAGGAGTATGAGGAAAAGATGGTGGGAGTTGAGCATAGTCAAGTCAACGAGTTTGGAAATTCAATTTGTTATGAAATTATGCTCACAATAATATCGGATTTTCCTTTCTCGGGCTTACACAACGAACATATTAGAAATTACATTATCATTGATAGCATTCGAGGAGTGTTGAATGTTAATTCGTCCTGGAGTAATCAAAAAAGACATTTTTACTGCATAGTAATGTTAAAAACATACAGTCAAAGCTTAAGAGTATATCGTGTGCAGATGCCTTTAGTGACCGGGCATGTCAGGGGTTGTACAAGAATAAATAAAAATAAAAGGAAAGTCGGCAAGATAAAGCTTCGTGTTGGCGGATGTGCTCATTGTATGACAGGAGTTTGTAAGTTTCCATTAACAGGATCCTGAGTGTGATGGCCGCACAAGCTGCAAAAGTAAACAAACGGTTGAGACGACCCAATTTTAACAAGTTAGTAACTGAGAAGGAAAAAGTAAATATTTTATGACAACAAATTTCTTCCAACATCGAGCGGAAAGCTGGTATCCTGCTTTGGCCATTTCTAAGGGTGGACCTAACCCTAAGAACCTTGCTATTCATTTGGTAGGATTAGACGGGATTAATTTACTGCTTCCTAAGAACTATATTCGCCGGACCTAGTGTCTTCAGATTACAATCTCTTCCGGCCTATGTAACATGAATTAAAGCGTAATGGGATTCGGGTAAAAAGCTAAAAGATCTTGTCATTCGGTAGTGAGTAGATAGTTCGTTACATTCAAAATGTCAACACTGACAAAAACTTTTTGTTAAAAAAATTCTCACTTCTCCTTTTTGAGCTTTTTCTTTTGACAGCCATTTTCCAACTTTTGTAGTTGTTGAAACAACTTTGTGTCTATCCAATTTCATATTCGTACCGATCGGAAAACGTGTTGTAATGAAAGTATGCAACTGTAAATTGTTCTGAAAAATCGAGAAAATTGGAATCAACTTAAGTTCCTTATTGTTGTCTATCTTGATTTTCTCCAGACTTCCTATTTATAGTGATTTTGTATGTATATGTCAATTTCTGCTTTAAATTCTAATTCAATTAATTAAGGTATTTAGTTGAGATAAAAAAGTCTGTGTAACGAGCGGGATTCGAACCCACGACCTTCGGCTTGATACGCCGCTACTCTACCACTTGAGCTATCGTGACTTCGATCCGTTCGGGCACTAACTTCTCATCTCAACCCCACCTTTTTGAATTTTGAGTGGATCGAATGCACGATAGCTCAAGTAATAGAGTATCGGCGTATCAAGCCGAAGGTCGTGGGTTCGAATCCCGCTCGTGACACTGACTTTTCTATCTCAACTAAAAACTTTAATTAATTGAATGATATTAATTGGTCAAGGGATCACGGAAATTAGTGAATTTAAATTCTAAGGTGATGTCTCCATTGTCATTTGTTTAGAAAGTCTCAAAAGTATGATTAGCGAGTCTTGAAAAAACCGTAAAAAGGTTTAAGTCGTCTTTAATTGTCATTCAATCAACGATTTAGATATTTATTTGCATATTTTTAATCGGCATTTCCTTCAATTCCAGGGGTGTTGGAATGGTTTGTGTTTGCCAATGAAGATATCGATTATTATAGGCATTGTTGGATTGATCGCTGCGTTCGGTTACGGATTGTTTGTTTTGATAAATACACCAGAACATACAAAGCACACATATTCGAAAAAACATAAATGAATTAATTTTCATTATCAAAGTTTTAAATAATTTGAGGTGAGTATATTCAGAACTTTCAGTTCTCTATTTTGTATAATAGAACAACGGATTAATTACAAAGTTGTCTAACGACTAAGACCTAATTTCTTGTTCCAATGGTGTCCCATCGTTATTTTGTTCATTTATTCTAAAGAGAATGAACGAATGACATCACAGTTTTTCAATCAAAACCTAAAAATTAAAGAGCTATGATTAAAAACATAGTTTTCGTAGTATGTTATTCAAAATATACTGTTTAGTAAAACTTATTCAATGTTTTCTGAAAGTACGACCGATTACAGAAGCATTTTTAAGCTGAGGGCGGTTTGTGTGCCTTGTATTCACCTCTGTAAAGAAGGGCTCAACAACCCTAACATCAACCCTTTGGCAAAATTCCAGGCTATCTAAATATCTGCACTAACAACGGATTGAGATAAAACAAAGGATGAGATCCCCTCCCTAAAAATAAAAAACAAAAAAATAATTTGAAAGACAAAACTCTACAGGTTCTTTTCATTTTCAAACCAGACTACGGTAATTCCACGATGGAACACCAATTTTATAATAATATACGTTTTATACATAGATTTTTTCCTGCTTGAAAATGTTCTGGTCCTTGTGCTTTTTAAAGGTTAATTTATAAAAGGTTGTCGGATGTGTACGAATATTTTTTATCTCATTGAGCGTTGATGAGTAAATTTTGCATGGTTTACACAGAAATCCGGGCGAAACTGAGTTATTTCACTTGAAAAAAATTGTCGCGACATTACTCGACCGGTCATAAATTGCAGATGTGTACGACCAACGGCTGGTGACAACTACTTTTTCGTTCTCTTCCTAGGCATGTCACGAACCTGAAACCACTCACTAACCCTGTCTCGTTTTTCTCGTAATTGTTAATATTTACTACTCACAGAAAAGGTACCGTACTTTGTCTGTGTATATAAATGGGTGAGAGTGTGATATAACAACAACTTTTGAAAAAAGCCTATTGATTTTTTTTAACTAACTCTTTCAATACATGGCCAGTATTGTTTTAAGAGAAGTGAAAAGAACAGTTTTTCCTATAATGAAATCATAGTTTGCTGTAGAGAAGGAACATTTGTACAATTTTATACGGACATAGTTCATGAGTTTTGCAAATACCAGACCAATTACGCGTTAAGCAATTATTTGGACCTTTGGTAGTCCCAGCTGGTCAAACTGTTTATCCACTCTTACTGAATTTCAAATTTTCCAAATATTTTTGACAAAAGGCTGATAACCGATGTGAAACTCACCCCTCGAATCGACCGCTACCTGCCATCTATTTTCAAAGTAAAGTCCACAGCTGTAACTGTCGTTTGAAAAGGAAAGGGACTAACTCGTTTAAGTCGGTTCTTGTACTCGAAAATTCTATTAGAATCTAATCTTAACTCTAAAACGCGAAAGTGGAAGTGGCTCTTTTACCTCTGATATGCCCGGATTACATCTAATTACAACACCTCTTCAACGTGAGCCGCCGACGTTTGAAACCTAATGGTTGAAAGCGTAACGAACTTGGTGCGGTGCTTTAACACACCCCTGGAATAGGAGGGCCGTTTTATCTTTAAGATAGGCAAATAGGTAAATCGTCAAATTTGGTTTTATCCAGTTATTTATAACCTCTTATTTACAAGAAAGATTTAAAAAATTCATCAAACGTCATGAATGATGACAACGTTGAAAAGTGGGTCTAAACCCAGAAAGTTTCTCGACATAAAAAGGTAATTTAATGATGATTTCAGTGATATTTTTATTCAAACATGAAATAATAAGTAAAACATAAATAATAAGGTTTGACGGCACAGGGAATCATTCAAAGCAGGGATTAAAAGAAATTCAATTAATCAAGGTTTTTCGTTGAGATAAAAAAGTCAGTGTTACGAGCGGAATTCGAACCCACGACCTTGGGCTTGATTCGCTGCTACTCTACCACTTGAGCTATCGTGACTTCGATCCACTCAGGCACTAACTTCTCATCCCAACCCCCACCTTTTTGAATTTTGAGTGGATCGAAGACACGATAGCTCAACTAATAGTGTAGCGGCGTATTAAGCCGAAGGTCGTGGGTTCGAATCCCGCTCGTGACACTATCTTTTTTATCTCAACTAAAAACCTTAATTAATTGAATATATTAATTGGTCTAGCGGACGACGAAAAACAGTGAATTAAAAGAAAGTTGATGTATGTTTTTATTAATAATGCACAATTTTAATTTTTCTTGCTGAAAATTTAGGAATTTTACGAAAAGATAACTAAAAGATAACTAACAAAAACAAAATGAATAGTTTGGTCGTTTCGGAACACTTCGTCTGCCTGTACTCATTTTAGTCTGGCAGATCGCAACAGGAAGAGCAGGCAGTCGTCACCCTGCATATTTAAGGAAAATCTCCCAAGTTTATTGTTTTTTTTACAACATCAATTTTTTGTTCGTTAGTGGTGTGTCGAAGCTTCGACTAATAAAATAATAATAAATCACCTGGAGCGATCGAACTGTAGTTATACAACAGTTAGCAGACTGACCACCATGACAAAACAGTTAGCTTTTTGTTAGCGCAAATTGTATTTCAAAATTGAGCGTTAAAGAAATTTTGAACGGGCGTTTTTATTAATGCTTAATTTTAATATTTCTTGCAGGAAATAAATCATTTTTATCATAACGGTAAAACTTTATGGAAAAAAAAGTTTGTAGATAGTAGATAATAGATGGAGAGTCGTTTCTGATCATCTCGGCCTGAAGATTCTCATTTTGCTCTGATAGATCGACAAAACTGCCTTCTTAACATAGTGTGATAAGAGAAAACTAACCTCTAATAATTATCAATAATTTTGTTCTTTTTATTTCCAGCTATGCTGTCCAATGAAATGCATATTATGTTTAATATTTGCTGGGTTTATGGCCGGAGTCGGGTACTTTTCCTTTTGCACCATATCAGAAAAGTGCTAAAATGTAATTTCCATTGAGTTTGCAACTCGTCGTAAGAAGGGAATGCCATTTCTTCAAGCCAGTGGATATATACTTGTTAAGTTTTTTGTAGAATACATAGAAAATAAAACTACAGATGCTTTTCCAATTGATTTCGATACAGATAAGAAAGATTCAGTAAATTTATATTTTAACTTTACGTTTATAAAGTCAGCCTACCGAAGGCTCGGACTTATAAGAAAAATTGCCTAAGTTAGACGAATTATAGACGAAGTCTCAAATTTTATTGGTTGACTTAATTTTACGCCAAATTGAAAGTTATTTTCACACGAATAAACTGGATCTCGGTATGATCTGGATGAACAACAAATTCAAATGTTACTGCCAAGCGTTCTACCTATTTTAAGGTCACCATGAGTGCAAAACAATTTTAAAAATGTCTACACATTGAGATAATTAAGTTTTTAACAGATAGTTTTAAATTTCCTTGAAGACCCACTCAATCCTAACATTTTCAGGAACTATGCCTGTTGTTATTTTAACTTTTTGGCGTTCGGTGCGTATCGATTCGATGTAGTGATACATACTAGGGGTACTCGCGATCTTCGTGTTAACCCTGTTAACTCTGTTAAGTCCTGTTAGATCGAGAAAATGATGACGTAGACTTGCAAGAATCGCCTAGTTAACATTGCTCGATCTAACAGGCCGGGGCCAATGTTAGATGTTAGGTCGAAAATGTAGTCAAATTTCTCTTCGTTATGGCGTAGGTAACCAACATGGCAGCCGTGAATTTAACAGCTGTTTTTTATTTACACGTATTTTTATTCTTAAATAAGCGTTAATTGAATGAGACCAATAAATTTCTTTTGTTAATTTCTGACCTGTCCTTATACTCTCATTCATAATAGATGCATCCCATATCCTATAAAGTGTAGGCTGTTACACCTTAGGATACATGTTAGGTATGTCGGCACGAATTGAAACGTGTCATTTGTTAGTACTTTTCGAGTACAAAGATAGCATTTTGAATGAAAGAGTTGATTAATTTTCCTTTTTTTATTAACTTCTGGCATTTTACAATTTAACACAAAAGATAACCATCACTTACAACAACACGCCTTCAAGGACTGTTATAGCTTTATTTTTGGTTCTACCAATCACCACGCGCAGCATTGCGGAAAAATTGACGTTTAACATGCTAAGAAAAGAAGGGGGCGTTCACGATCTTATAGGGCATTTCTCTATTCGGGTTAACACGAGTTACCATCTTACAAACATCGTGAATACCCCTACTAAAAGGCGATCATTGGTAATATTGTTTCGAAACAATCGATTTTACCGTTGCGTGCCGAAATATCTCGCTGGTGCGAGATTAAAGTATAAATTACAAAAGTCAAATAAAATGATTTAAAGCCTATTACCTACAAATAAGGTTAAAATTATTGATTGTTCTTTTTTTTGTCCGGCGTTGGTAATGATACCAAAAATATTGAAGTATTTGACTCCAAACGGAAAGTTCTTCGTTGGTGTAGACGGTATCGATTTAATTATTAGTTAGCCCTCATCAAGTCTCATTGCATTCACTCACTATCGATCGATTTAATTAATTGTTTAACTGAAGCACGTGAGACGACTAAGGGAAACCCAGAAGTTAACAGGAATAAGTTAAACTTTGAGGAATCGTTTAGAAATATTTTAGTTTCTACACCATTCTTCCTATTTAGTTAGATAGGTTCAGTGTTCATTAATCAAAACACATTGGGTAAAAAATTATATTTAGAGCAGTTTAAAAAACATACGTCTGTTTGGCTTATTATTTCATTGACGGAATTAGACTTAATTAATTATTTTGAGAGATCAGTTAGTTTTACTTAACCTTTTTAAGCCTATTGTCTTATTTCGCTGGCGACATACTTATATGTTGCTTTATTTTGTGGGTAAATTAATAAACCCAAATAAAAACATTAATAATCTTCAAAAAAACAAAGAAATCCCAGGAAAAACAATAGAATAATGGGTTTGTTTTGTACTTAAGAATCTTATGGATCATCTTATGGTCCGATTGGTTTTATTGGCCGGGAATCAATCTGAGAATGAGATTGATAGGGGGGAGGTATCAAATTATCTGATTAAATTATCTTCTTGGCTAAAAAATGCTTTTAAAGTAATGACAATTAGTCTGGGTGTGTGAATGAGATTTATTAGCGTGAGTAGGCCCCTTCCCCAATATGGTCTACTCTGGGGCAGAACAAATGCTATTTAGAGTAATATGTTTTTAAATTTGTTTTTTTATTATATATGTACAATTCGTGTATCTGTATACTTTCATTTTTGACTCACGGAGCCCTTAAGTAAAGACAGGCTGGTAACAGGATAGAAAAACGAGAGCTTTGGTTACCGTAACAAGAATATAACTTGACTAAAGCGTCAGAAAAATTAATAGAAGGAGTAAACTACTTTTTTTATTAGATTTATTTATATTTACAACTACAAAAACTGCTATTACGTAAAATATGTTCATATAGGTTGAATTTTGAGGCTCTTGGAGGAGAAGTTGCCCAGTGGCAACACTCCTTCACACTGATGTCTTGTTCGGTCTTCATTCAATGAGAAGGTCTCGGGGCCACTTTCGCATTAATCGTCTTGGAGGATTTTCATGGTTGGAAGTGAAAAATTTACTAATAGATTATTTTGTATATTCAGTGATGAAATTTTTTATAGCGGGTTTTGATGAGTTCAAGTACAAACGGGATGTGCAGATCGTTATGAATAGTGTAATTTGGAACGTAAAAAAGGAGATTTATAAATGGACGGAGAATTTTAGATTGGATTGATTGGAAACGCCGGGAATTGGTATCCTGGGTTGAGCTCACACTTCACAACCGTACGCCCAGAGTAGGTCATTGTCTTGTAAATGAAAAGTTTGCTTTCATTGTTTAATTTTGATCGTGAGTCAAGTAGTCTTTTTAATAATTTATAACGTCGGTTTGTTTGCTGTCTTTTTAGCCTTGTGTGGGGATTCCAAGTCGGTCTTTATTCATGAAAGTCCAAGATAACGCCCAAGGTCAGTGGTAGGCAATAGGATTCCATTTATACTCACTGCAGGACATATATTTTTACCTATGGTAAAATTTATCTGTTTATCTTCATTCTCCACTTTGTGAATGTACTGTTAATTCATTCAAGTGTTTTTTTTTGTAACGATGGTTTGCAACAGCAGAGGTCGTATAAACTCCGGGGGGGGGGGTGTTTTTGAAAAAAAGCCCCTTTGTAATTATGTTGGGTTCGAATGCAGGGCCGCTGGATTCGAACCCGTGACCTTACAGTGATGAGCGCCGTGCCAACGCCTAAACGGTTGGGGCCACCGACGCCCCCTTCAGGTGTTGCTATAAGTGTAGAGTGTTAATTTAGGGGTCCGAATTACGTGTAAGAATCGCTGTATCAGCAGCGAATGTATGTGTTGAAATGTAAACATAGTAGGAATATCTGCAGTGTATATTGAAAATAGAAATGGGCCATGTATGCTTCCCTGAGGAACACCGGAGCAAAATACAACAAATAAAAGAAAAGGACGGCAAAAAAGAAGAGGGCTGGCGATGACTAATGCAGTTTACCTCCTAGCTACCATATTTGTACATTGCAATATTTTATGTTAAATTTATGATTCTTTTCATGAGAGATCATCTTAGCTCGCTAGTAAATTGTTGTATATTATAATCGTTTACAAGTCGAAAAAGAACAACTATGATATAAGAAAAAAAGTTTAGTTTTTATCAAGTATATAATTTTGACCGAATTACCATGTAAAATAATTTATGCATTTGCTATCTAATTTTAAACGAAAATTTTAATGTACCTACTTAATAAAATAAAAACTCACTAGTCTATCAAATAAAATGGGATGGATGATTAATAATAAAAAACTGAATCCCATCATGTTGTCTGTCTACTTGCCCATTTAATTGTACATTGTTCAAATATACGTCACATGTGAAACAATAGTTAACTAGCGTTTTATTTTTCTCCGTACCGTAAAAGGTTGAACATCAGAAGCAGTATAAACGTTATCTCCTATTATTGTGCTACTACCGCTATAATGTGAAACGAGAATGTTATCTGTTGCAGAAATGTTGTGGCTGCTGCCTCTTTGGACAGATTATCATCATTGTTTCCATCGTCATCTTTGGTTTACTCATTTCCCTTTATATATGGTGGAACGTTACCAAGAAGTAATGCCTGACTCAAAAACGGAACTCTTCATGGACCGACTTCAAAAAAAAAGAGTACGGTCTGGAAATTATATAAACAAAATCTAATTCGCCCGTGTTTTGATCGTTGTAGAAATCTTGTTTTGTTATTCAAAGATACCTCTAGAAAGTGTGTTGAATGTAAAACGAACATTTATTTAAAGTGAAAAATATTTCAAAAAAATCCAACAAAATCATGCTGGATTGTAGAATAGTATTATTTAAACAATTTATCGTTAAGTCCGTCTATTTTTTTTTACAAATGTATACTTACATTTTCGTGATTCAGTTACAGCTAATATCGAATTACAGTAACTTATAACTTCTACCGAAAAATAGTAACATCATAAGATTAAATGTGGTTAAGGTTATAGTTAATTCACTACTTTCGTGGTCCGCTTGACCAATTAATACATGACAAATAATTAAGGCTTTTAGTTGAGTTGAAAAAAAGGCAAAAAAAATGGCAAAAGGAGGGAAAACTCATAAGGTGGGGTTGAGATAGGAGGTTGAGATAGGAAGTTGATGTCCGAGTGGATCGAGGTCACTATAGCTCAAGTGGTAGAGCAGCGGCGTATCTAGCCGAAGATCGTGGGTTCGAATCACGCTCGTGCCATTAACTTTTTTTCATCTCAACTAAAAGCCTTAATTATTTGTTATGTATTAATTGGTCAAGCGGACCACGAAAGTAGTGAATTAATGATTTAAAAAATGAAGTACCCTTCACTAAAGCTCTCCGTCGCCATTTCAATTGTCGCCGAGAATCAAAACCGATTACGCGACATTTGAAAAATGGCAAAAGGAGGGAAAACTCATAAGGTGGGGTTGAGATGGGGAGTTGATGTCCGAGTGGATCGATGTCACGATAGCTCAAGTGGTAGAACAGCTGCGTATCTAGCCGAAGATCGTGGGTTCGAATCCCGCTAGTGCCATTAACTTTTTTCATCTCAACTAAAATCCTTAATTATTTGTTATAGTTAATAACATCGTGTATCATTTATTTAAAATACTGCAGTGCCACGAGAAAATTTCAACATTACAATTAAAATTATATCCATATATTTTGTGGTCCGATTGACCAAATAACTTCTTTCAATTAATTAATCTTTATGTAAGGTATTGGTTGAAATGAAAAAGTTAGTGTCACGAGCGGGATTTGAACCCATGACCTTCGGCTAAATACGTCGCTGCTCTACCATTTGAGCTATTGTGACTTCGATCCACTCGGACACCAAGTAGAACCTAAAAATTTGAAACTAGACTAAAAAAATATTAAGCATGTCTTTTGTGATAGCGTCATTAGTTCAAGAGAAATCCAGCCGGGATATCTAAAGACACACCCTGTATAATATAAAAATATATAATATAATAGGTTGAGATGAGAAGTTAGTGTCCAAGCAAATCGAAGTCACGATGGCTCATGTGGTCAGAGCAGCAGCGTATTTAGCCGAAGGTCGAGGGTTCGAATCCCGCTCGGGACACTGACATTTTCATTTCAACCAGTACCTTCCATAAAGATTAAAATTATAATTAGCAAATTTTTTAAAAGTTCACCATAAGCACCATTATTGCTTTTTGTTATCAGAAAAGCAATTCACACTCAATAACTAGATTTTATTACAGTTTTAGGATATTGCATTTTTCTAAAACAATGCTTTGTAGTTACCTCAATTTCTGGATAAAACAAATAGCTCAACTATTTGCCACGTCTTTGGAAAATATTTCAACATTTTTTGAACAAATGTTCAAACACTTTGCTTCGTTTGCTGACAGTTTACGGCAAATTGAAATATGTATGTAGATTGTCGATTATCTTACTATTATAAAATCAATCGCATCAATTCATAATGCTGCCTAGGGTTTGTTACTTGATACTGAATTGTCATTTGATGTATACGACTGTCTTTTATAACGGAAAATCTAATCTTATAGCACAATTAAGTCAAGCAACCTCATTTTTAGATTTCAGGCACTTTCACATTAATTAATCACACTAGGCTGCTGTGGAAACTAGGAAATTATCCTAGTGTATAACTTATAATATCAGAGAAAATCGGGTGTATCACTATATGTTCTATGATTGTTATCTATTTCTTGTATTAAAAAATCAGGGCAATTTGAAAGGATCGAAAAAGGACATAATTTCTTCGTAAAATGAGTAAAGATAATTTGTAATTTATTCTTATTCTATTAATTTTACTTAAATTAACCTATATATTTTTGCTAGTTAGACCAAACAAAATAGAAAATAGAAACCAAAAACACAAAATTTATTAACCCTCATTTGTAATAATGGATTTACTTAAGAATAGTAAACATGGGGGAGCATTCAAACCCGACATATTTACAAATAGGCTTTTTTTTCAAAAACATTGGCACTCTGAGGGTTTATATGACCTCTGTTGTTGCGAACCCTCGGGAAAAAAAACCACTTGAATCAATTAGCAGTATGGTTCACAAAGTGGAGAATGAAGATAAACCTAACGAAAAATAAATAAATTTTACCATACATAAAAAAAATAAAATAGTAAACATGAATACTCATTTGTAAACAGACACCTTTTCTCCATTTTGATCCAGTTGTTTTTTCTTTAACCACGGAAAGTCATCTGAACCAGAAATTTGCAATATTATTGTGATTATTGTGAGAATGAGTCATCGAGGCCACCAGCAAGTGGATTTCGCAGAGGCAGTTGGTGTTTCTCAGAGCGTGGCCTCAGCAGCAGCCCGCCATGAGCAACTCAGGAGAATATGGTGCAGCGAGCGCTTAGAAGAAAACACCAATTGGAATGCTGTCCTCTTCAAGGCGCTCGCTGCATACGCTGTGAGGCCAACTTCCCACAAACAATTTTGAATAGCATTTGTTGTTGAAGGCCTTGCCAAACATTTTGTACTTTATTTAGGATCTGACGGGCACTATGGAAAGCGTCCCGTTATGCAGCACTGACAATATTTATGTCCTCCCCTAGCTTCGTAATGCGTTGAGATCCAATATCAGGTCTTGTATTCTCTTCTTTTTCCAGTCTTACGGAATCAAAATGTGAGACCACGCTCTGAAAAACGCCAACTGCTTCTATGAACTCCAGTTACCGGTGACCTCGATGACTCATTCTCACAATAATATTGCAAACTTTTGGTTAAAGGTGTTCTCTTTCCACGGTTAAACAGAATAAAACTGGGTTAAATAGAATTTTGTTATTTCTAATTCGAGAAATATGAATGTAAATTTACTACACTGAATGAGCATTTGTTAACGTCGAAAGCTTGACAAAAGAACTGACGGTTTTTCTATTTTCTAATTGGCCTTAGCCCTTTTTCAATATAAAATTCTACTATTGTGGGCTGCTCTCAATTATACGGGGCGAGGTTATGTATTTTCAAATTTTAGCAACTTGATAATGTCGCAATACTAAGCAAATGCCAAAAAATTATAGCTGTCAGTCCCAGTCGTACCCAACAAATATCTGAGTGTTTTAGTCTTATAACTGATCAACTAAACTTATAAGAAACCGAAATACTTGTTAATTTTATCTAATGTTGAACTTAGCCTGACAACAACGTCTACGCAATGACGAAACGTGGGAGACGGCAAATGGATTCTTAAGACTTACCGAACCAAAGTAACCAACCACCGCTTCACCTCAAAAGGCTTTCGTACTTAGTTACGATTAGAACAATAAGCAAGAACAGCTTTGCAATTCTAGGTAATTTACGAAAGGTTCAAAAATATCAAACCCACTCACTCCCACGCCAACGTTCGGATATACACTGTTGAACTCGTAAATTTATTAGTTGACATATCTCACAAATCTTGTCACCCGATATACTTATATTCAAAGGATAAAACAACTAAAAAAAAATATGTTTAATATGGTAATTTTTGCATCAGCTGTGTGTTAATTTTGCACTGATAATTTGAAAATAAATACATATCGAAAGTTATTGACAAACCTTTTAGTCAGTAATCTTTCCCACAGGTTCCCATGGTTAGCTAACACTTCTTTTTTTCAATTCATTTATGTTTTAGGCGATGAACATTTTGGTTTTTATGACTTTAAAATTCTAACTTTTTAAATAGTTCTATATATATAATTACTAAACTCATTATGTTTAGTGGTCTATTGACTCAATCACTTCTTTCAATTAATTAATCTAAAAAGATTAATTATATAAAATATATATAAATAATACAAATATATATATATTATAAAACATAGGTATGTCTGTGAGTACTTATATGTTTACGAAAGGATGAATGNTATCTCAACCAACATCTTACATTAAAAAAATTAATTGAACTAATTTACATGGTCAATTAGGTCACTAAATATAAATGGATTGAAATATATATAAATAAAATATATATAAGCGTGATACAAAAATATAAGGTTTTGGTTGAAATGAAAAAGTGTGTCATTCATGCGGAATCCAACCTAAATATTGAAAAATAGCAAAAAGGAGTGAAAAGTCGAAAGGTAGGTTGAGGTGGGAAGTTAGTGTCCGAGTGGATCGAAGTCACGATAGCTCAAGTGGTAGAGCAGCGGCGTATTTAGCCTAAGATTTTGGGTTCGAATCCCGCTCGTGACACTAACTTTTTCATTTCAACCAAAATCTTACACAAAAAGATTAATTAATTGAAAGAACTTCGCAGCATTTCAATCACATTCTCCCTAATAAATACTTTCTTCTAGCAACCGAATTCACTCTATTTACACATTTCCACACTGACTGATTTTCTAGACCTATTGTCTATTTCTAAGTTTTGTTATTCATTTTAACCTCTTATAAATAAAATAAACGGTTTTCAGTCTGTTTCGGCTTGTTACTCAGTGTCTCCGATATTGAATTTGGAACAGTATATTTTTTCGAATAAGAAGTACACAAAAGACATTCTATTTCTTATTTTTTATATTTTGCGATAGCAGAAATACTTTATACATTTTGACAGTCATAAAATTCCTTCCACTGTAATATAACTTGACTTGTATATATTAGTGTAATAATTAATGTATTAACAAAAGTTTCACGTTTTTTAATGTTTAATGTGTCTTTGACGAAAA